GGTCTTCAGTAGCTCCTTTTTCTCCAAGGGGCTCCCCAGGGGGCACTCATTTTGTCCTGAGTTTTCAAAATATGTGGGGAGCAGGGTCTCAAATCCACGACCCTGTCCTCCAGCCCAGCTCTTCCTAGGACTGCCAGTAAGTCTCTGAATTTCCAGATCCCCCCTTGCAATCCCAAAGCCACCTGCCCCTCTCTGATTCACAGCATCTTTATCAACTATTCGTCCTCCGTGGTGCATCAAACAGATGCACTATTTTCCCTTTATCATTATCCCCCAGAGCCATGGATTGATCTTTTTAAAGATTATATTTGTCTGTGGATATTTTTCATGAGAGGAAACAGAGAATAACCACCTGGAACTATGTTGCATGAAATCCCTGTGCGTCTCCCCCAGGATCTTTCTGGGCCCAGACATCCTATGGGAAGTCCTTTAGTTGGAGCTTCCTCTCCAGAAACTTTCCTGGGTGATCCATCCTGTTGACATAGCCCCCCCTAGATTTGTGACATAACAAAAGGTTTATTCACTTATTTAAGTCTCCATTTTTCAATAGGGTAAGTATATTTAATGCATACAGGTTGGAAGACAATATAAAATAGTTTAAAAGAGGAAACAAAAAGGTGAATTTCAGAAAAAACGAAATATTCCTGTATTGCATTCCATTTATTAAGAATACTTACTTTACGCTTTCTTTCACAGAACATGTGTAGTAAGTTTTTGAGTTCTGTTCTTTACATTTGGATGTTTTCAAATGAAATTCCAGGTCTTAGACGTGCTGAACACAAGTGGTCAAGTGTGATTTCTTGCCATGGAAATAACTTTTTTTTTTCTGAAGGGAATAGCCATTTGGGATTTTCTAGTTGAGTTATTAAAAGTGCCTTGTAGGGGCCAGCCTGGTGGCCAAGTGGTTAAGTTTGCGCCCTCTGCTTCGGCAGCCCCGGGTTTCGTGGGTTCGAATCCTTGGCACGGACATGGCACCACTCATCAAGACATGCTGAGGCAGCGTCCCACGTGCCAAAACTAGAAGGACCCACAGCTAAAATATACAGCTATGTACCGGGGGACTTTGGGGAGAAAAAGGAAAAATAAAAAATAAAATCTTTTTTTAAAAAAAAGTGCCTTGTAATTTTCTTCCCTATTTTCCATGGAAAGGCTGGGTTTAAGTGATTTTGCTGTATTATTCAAACACTGGGTTTGTCTCATTTGAAATAAAAATGATGTTCCAAAGCATCTGCAGTGGGCAGCTGAGGCCTGCAGTTAAAGACTCAACCTAAGGCCCCCTCGGGCCTGCAGAGGGAAGGCCTTGAAGGCCCAGCTGTCCTTCCTGGGGAGCGTCACCCTGCAGGTGTCCTACTGCTCACACCCCCATGGAAGGAGCCTTGATCCTGAGAGGAGCTGCAGAGCCCTGGAAAGCTGGGGGTGCACGTACACATGTGTGTTTGCACGGGGATATCCAATATTTCACTCCTATTTGTTTAAAAGACTTTCCTTTTCATTTGCATTGTCTTTTCCTTCTTTGTCAAAGATCATTTCACTGAATTTGTGTGGGTCTATAAGGAAAGCATTGACTCACATATCCTTCAACCTTCCCGTAGTCTCTTATTAATTCCAGAAGTTATTTCTATTGTGAATTCTTTCAGATATTTCACACAGACAAACATGCCATATGGAATATATGTTATAAACTTAGGTACAGGATTCATAAAAATGTACCTTTTCAAGAAGTGGGAGTTCCCCTCTATTACTGGTTTGTTGTAAATGGATGTTGGATGTTTGTGGCTTTTTTGAGAAAGATTACCCCTGAGTTATCATCTGCCACCAATCTTCCTCCTCTTTGCTGAGGAAGACTCACCCTGAGCTAACATCCGTGCCCATCTTCCTCTACTTTATATGTGGGATGCCTACCACAGCATGGCTTGACAAGTGGTGTGTAGGTCCTCACCCAGGATCCAAACTGGTGAACCCCGGGCCGCCAAAGCTGAATGTGTGAACTTAACCACTGCACCACCGGGCTGGCCCCTGGATGTTGGATTTTATAAAAAGCCTTTTTTATTTTAATTTCCCCCTCCTTTCCTTTCTGATATTAGTAATTTCTGTCTTCCCTCTTGTCTTTGTTACCTTAACCAGATGTTTATCAGTCTTGTCAAGCAACTAGCATTTTTTGCTTGAATTTTTACCCATTAATTTCCCATAATGAATTGATGTATTGTCTAAGTTTTGTGATTTCTTTGATTGTGCTTACTTTGGGTTTAATTTGTTCTTTTTATTGTTTCCTAAGGTAGATGCTTACGTCATTGATTATAGGTATTTGTTTTTTCCAGTGTATTTGTTCAATGGCATAAATTTCCCTCTTAGCACTGATTTAGCTGCCTCCAAGAACCTTTGGTATATTGTGTTTTGTTTCATTTGGTTCACACTATTTTCTCATTTTCCTTGAGACTTCTTTGTGTGTGTGTGAGGAAGATTGGCCGTGAGCAAACATCTGTTGCCAATCTTCTTTTTGCTTGAGGAAGATTGTTGCTGAGGTAACATCTGTGACAGTCTTCCTTTACTTTCTGTGGGATGCTGCCATAGCATGGCTTGACAAGCAGTGCTAGGTCTGCACCCAGGATCTGAACCTGTGAACTCCAGGCCACTGAAATGGAACACACAAACTTAGGCACTATGCCATTGGGCCAGCCCAGGACTTCTTGTTTGATCCTATGTATTATTTAGTAGTGTGTTGTTGGCTCTCCACATTTTTGGGGTTTCCAACTCTCTTGCTCTTATTGACTTCTAGATGAATGCCTAGGTGGTGCGGGAGCATCTTTTTGTGATTTCTCTTCTTTGTAATTTGTTAAAGTCTGCTGCCCTGTGTCCTAGAACGTGGTTTGTTTTGGCGAAAGTTCCATGTGAACTTGAGAAGAATGTATTTTCTGCTGTTGTTGTATGAAGTATTCTATAGATAACAGTGAATCCAGTTGTTTTATGATGCTGTTCAGTTCACCTCTGTCCTTCCTCAGTGCCTGCCTAATGGAATTCACACTTTGTGATAAGGGGGTGTTGAATTCTACAGCTGTTTTACTGGATTCATCTATTTCTCCTCTCATTCTATCAGTTCTTACCTCGTACATTTTGCCCATTTGTTGTTACACGTATACACATGAAGGATTGCTGTACTTTCTGGGAGGATAGACCCCATTATCAGGCTCCAATGCCCCTCTCTATCTCTGAATTTTCCTTGGTTTGGAATCTGCATGGTCTATAATTCATATACCTATGGCAGCTCTCTTTTGATTAGTGTTGGCATGGTCTGTTTTTCTCCATCCGTTTACCCTTTATCTGTCCATTTCTTTATATTGAAAGTGGGATTCTTTTAGACAGTATGTAACAAAGTTTGTTTTTTAAAAATCTGATATTACTGTATCTTTCAATTGTATTGAGACCCTTGATTAAAGTGGTTATTGATAAAGCTGCATTAATATTTACCGCTTGTTTTACTGTTTTTTATATCTTGCCCTTGTTTGTTTCTTTTTGTCTTCCACTTTTTTCCACCTTCTCTGGCTAAAATTGAACCTTTTATCTGATTCTTTTTTTCTCCTCTCTTAGCCTATCAATTACACATTTTTAAAAACACTTTTACTGGTTGTGGTGGAATTTTCAGCATACATTTACAACTAACCCACCTCCTCTAACACATAACACTGTACCACTTCACTGTGTGCAAGTGCCACTTAACACAGTATTCCCAGTTTCCCCTCCCTGTGCCTTGTCACGTGGCTGTCATTTATATCACTTGTCCGTAAGGTTTTCATTACCAAAGACATTGTTGCTAATATTATTGTAAACGTGTTATGTTGATTATGGGAAGTGTAAAATTTACTTTACCTTCATTTTTTCTTTTCTAATCCTCTTTATCATTTACATTCTTCCTGATACATTTTTGAGCAGTTCATTCAAAGTAGGTGCACTCATGACAGATTTCCTCGACTTTTGTCTCAGTCGTTGTTTTCCTTTAGTTTTGAAAGATAATTTTGCTGTACAGAGAATTATTGGAGAGTGGGGTTTGTTTTAGTTTTCAACACTTTAAATATTTCACTCTAGTCCGTTCTTGCTGCATGGTTCTTGAAAATCAGTCCAATTTAATTCACATCTTTATTTCTTTATACCTCAGGTGTGTTTCTTCTCTGGCATTTTTATATATTTTCTCTGTCTTGATTTTTCTGTAGTGTGAGTGTGATAACCTGGGGTATGCACTGTTGGAGTTTATCATGTTGAGTTTTCTCTGAGAACTCTAGATGTACAGCTTGCTGGCTCCCATTAATTTTAGAATATTTTGCTGGTTATTGCTTCACTTGTTTCTTCTGTTTCTTTCTTTCTGTCTTTTCCTTCAAGTATTCCCATTATGTATATTTTAAGCCTTCTGTAATAGAGGGTTGGCCTAGGCTTGATGATATTGTGTTCATTCTTTTTGTCTGGTAATGATATTTGTTTCATTGTATAGCATTTCTGTCATTCCAAAACATGCTCTGGATCATGCCATTACGGAGAAATTTGCTGAAATGTGATCACAGCAGAAATGTGTAAATCATTCTCATGAGTTCATGATGCTGTTCAATTGATGAGGTAATGTGTACATAAAAACAGTGAGGTTTTTCTTCTTTTTTTAGTATTATTATTATTATTATTAATTTTTTTGGTGAGGAAGATTGGCCCTGAGCTAACACCCATGCCAGTCTTCCTCTATTTTTTATGTGGTATGCTGTCAGAGCATTGCTTGTCAGGTGTTGTGTAGGTCTGCTCCCAGGATCCGAACCCACACACTCTGGGCCACTGAAGCAGACTGCATGAACTTACCCACTATGCCACTAGGCCAGCCTCAAAACAGTGAGTTTTTTATGATCACATCAGAGTAAATGTTTGGAGATGACAGAATCATATGTAACCTTCCTAGAAATGGAGGATGGATGTCCAGGGCTATCGGTCTTATGTTTCCTACTATAAACATATTTGTGATGTTTTAGGACTCAGTGGCCATTGAGGATGTGGCTGTGAATTTCACCCCAGAGGAGTGGGCTTTACTGGATCCTTCACAGAAGAAACTCTACAGAGATGTGATGTTGGAAATTTTCAGGAACCTGGCCTCAGTAGGTAAGAATGAGGACCTTCCTTCATTGCATCAATTAGAGAAAAGTGTTTCCTGCTCATCAATGTTGTTCCAAGATGGAGCATATGGAAGTGGAAGATGTTGGTAAACAAACTAGGAATTGTCATAGCTCATCATGGTCTTAGAATCTAAAAATGTTTCTAGAATTTCTGATACTTTGGAATCAACTTTCTGGGTCTGCATTTCAGGAAAAACATGGGAAGATCATGACATTGAAGATGAGCACAAAAACCAGGGGAGAAAGCAAAGGTGAGTCACACTCAACAATAAAAGCAGGATCTCACGTGACAATCATGGTATATTATGAAATTTTCAAAAGAAGCAAACAAAAGAAAGAACAATTGCTTCAAATTTAGCTTTTCTTACAAAATTTTCACCAAGTATACTTTTTTAAAGTGAGGTAGATGTCAGCTTTTGCAAAATAGTTCACTTGGAAAAGGTATTAATAAACCCTATATATGAATATCACTGTTTGGATAACAGCAAGGCTGAAGTTCTCTCCCAGAGCATTTAGTATATTCAGTTTCTGAGAATTCAGACAAGGCAGAGAACCTAAACTTTTCCTATAAATTTTAACAAATATAACAAATATAAAATCATTAATAAATCATTAATAATGTACTTGTGATTTTTTACAGAAGTCCTATGGGTAAGAGACTCTGTGAAAGTGAAGAGGGTAGTCAGTGTGGAGAAAATGTCACCCTTATTCCAAATCTCAGTGTGAACAAGAAAACTGCAAGAGGAGAACCATGTGAATGTAGTGCATGTGGAAAAGTCTTCAGGCATCATTCATCCATTAAAAGGCAAGTTAGATGTCACACTGAACACAAACAATATGATTATCAAAATTATGCAGAGAAGCCATATGTATGTAAGGAATGTGAGAAAGCCCTCCCTTTTCCCAGTTCTCTTAAAATATATAAAAGAACCTGTACTAGAGAGAAACCTTATAAATGTCAAAAATGCAGTAAAGCATTCACTTCTTCCAGTTCTCTTCGAGTCCATGAAAGAATTCATACAGGAGAGAAACCCTATGAATGTAAGGAATGTGGGAAAGCTTTTAGAGCTCTGGCAAGCCTTCAGTCACACATGATCTTTCACACTGGAGATGGACCGTATAAATGTAAGGCATGTGAGAAGGCGTTCCTTTCTCCCAGTTTACTTCAAATACATGAAAGGAGACACACTGGGGAGAAACCCTATGAATGTAAACATTGTAGGAAAGCCTTTAGTCTTCCCAGAATTCTTGAAATACATGAAAGACGTCACACTGGAGAGAAACCGTATCAATGTAAGGAATGTGGGAAAGCTTTTATTGCTCTCACAAACCTTCGAGTACACATGATCACTCACACTGGAGATGGACCTTATAAATGTAAGGAATGTGGGAAAGTATTCATTTATCCCAGTTTGTTTCAAAGACATGAAAGGAGTCACACTGGAGAGAAACCCTATGAATGTAAAGAATGTGGGAAAGCCTTCAGTTTGCATGCTTACTTAAAAAAACACAAAAAAACTCACACTGGAGGGACACCCTATGTATGTAAAGAATGTGGTAAGGCTTTTATTTCTCTTAAACTTTTCCAAATACATGAAAGAAATCACAGGAGAGAGAAATCCTATGAATGTAAAAAATGCAATAAAGTATTCACTTGCCCCGGTTCTCTTCGAGTCCATGAAAGAACTCATACAGGAGAGAAGCCCTATGAATGTAAGCAGTGTGGGAAAGCCTTTAGAGCTCCCTCAAGTCTTCGATCACATGTGATGCTTCACACTGGAGATGGACCTTATAAATGTAAAGAATGTGAGAAAGCATTCATTTCTCCCAGTTCACTTCAGAGACATGAAAGGCGACACACTGAAGAGAAACCCTATGAATGTAAAAAGTGCAGTAAGGCCTTCAGTTATCCTTGTTCTCTTCGAGTCCATGAAAGAACTCATACTGGAGAGAAACCCTACGAATGTAAGCAATGTGGGAAAGCCTTTAGAGCTCTCTCAAACCTTCAGTCACACATGATCTTTCACACTAGAGATGGGCCATATAAATGTAAGGAATGTGAGAAAGCATTCATTTCTCCCAGTTTACTTCAAAGACATGAAAGGAGTCACACTGGAGAGAAACCATATGAATGTAAAGAATGCAATAAAGCCTTCAGTTATATCAGTTCTCTTCAAAAACATGAAAGAACTCATACTGGAGAGAAACCTTATCAATGTGAAAAATGCAGTAAAGCATTTGATTTTCCCAGTTCTCTTCGAAGGCATGAAAGAACTCATAGAAGTGAGAAAACCTTTATTTCTCATGCAAACTGTTGAGGACATGTGGGAACGCATGTAGAAGAGAAAACTTATAAATGTAATGAATGTCTGAAAGCCTTTTGTCATCTTTTGTCATCTGAGTTCTTTCTGAAGTTATAAAAGAAGTCACTTGATAAAAACCTCCTGAAAGTAAACAGTGTGGGAAAGACTTCAGTTGACCTACATCATTATATGTGAAACTCCCACCAAAAAGAAATTGAAATTTAAGTGATAAGAAAAAGCTTGATGGAAATTAGCTTGTGTATAATGTTCTAGAAAACTTTCAACATGAAAGTTGTTATAAAAGTTGTAAATATATTGCAAATATATTGCAAAGCCTCTTTGTTGAGTGCAACATTGAATTCTGGATTTCTATTAATGACTTTCAGAAATGAATATTGAGGTGAGATAATTCTGTAAGTCATTCTTCATCAATACTACATAAGATTACTAGCTACTGCTTTTTCCTTAAATCAGTTAATAATGTTTTCACTTTAATTTTAAATAATGTTTTAATTGTTCTATGTTAAGGGGTCATCGAAAAGTGACAGTTTGTGTTTCTTGGGATTTTCTTCCTGGCCTTATATAGCAGTTTCTGGATATGCCTAATCTGTTGTATATATTGTTCCTTTCTTAGAGAAAGCTCCTTTTTTTGGATGGTAAGTATAGGAGCCTGTTTTTATTTTCCATACTATTAAACAGTTGGAATAAATTTTTGTGTATAGCAAATTTATCAGCGTTCTTTCATGTGAATCCTTATTTTCATATTTGAGCCTTTGCTCACTCTTCTTCCTTCTGACAGGTATTTGGTGAATACGTTTTTTTTTTTTTTAAAGATTGGCACCTGAGCTAACAACTGTTACGGATCGTTTTTTCCCCTTGCCTTTTCTCCCCAAATCCCCCCCAGTACATAGGTGCATATTCCAGCTGTGGGTCCCTCTAGTTGTGGCATGTGGGATGCTGCCTCAACATGGCCTGCTGAGTGGTGCCATGTCCATGCCCGGGATCTAAACTGGTGAAACCCTGGGCTGCCAAAGCAGAGTGTGCAAACATAACCACTCAGCCATGAGGCCGGCCCTTGAATACACTTTAAATTAATTTAATTAAATTAGGGCAACAAAATCTAGAGCTGGACATATCGCCGCTGTATTGCATTATGTCAGGGAGTTAATATTATGAACTGCGTCTTTAAGAATCCACCCCCTTTATGGTTCCATGTTGGAATTCACCAATAGAAGGCAGAAGCAGTGGAGGCATCAGGCAGAGTTTGGAGCCACCACACAGGGAAGAAGACAGTTACATAAGAGCTTCAAGGAAACCATCTTCCATCCCTTTTTCTGGATTCGTTCCCGTTCTAGTCAAGAGTATCTTGAAAACCACCACCATCTGTTTATTTTCCATTTTCTTACAGGTGTATTTTCCACTGATGTTTCCACAAGATTCATATCAAAGATCCATTAGAATTGGGATTTTTCAGTAAGGCTTGAAATACATGACCTACAGTTTCCTTGGGTCAACCAGAGAGCTACTGCAGACCTTTGTGGTTGGGAGTATTCTCTGATTCCCCTCTTTAGATCATATCTGTGTGAGGTTTAATTTGTACAGGAAACACCTTATACCGTTAGTACTGCCATTGAGGATGTTTTCCTGGTCGCCATGGCATCTACAATGGGGCATAAAAAGAAGGATGTGGGAGTTCATTTCTCTGCTGCATTGCACAGTGGCTGCCTTGACCCAGTTCTTCCATGTCAGAACAGTCACCTTGCTCATGTCGGGAAGACACTGTGTTTCCTGTTACTTGTAGCTGAACATAGTATTCGATTGCATGTCATGAAAACAACGTGCATTTCCTTGTGAAATGAACTCTTCTGTAGTTGTTTCGTTGATATATTTTATCATCTGTTTTCTGAGGCATTATATGCTAATAAATATTTTTCTGGTTTTCATTTCCTCAATATATTAAAATCCATTTTTATTATGGATTTTCATATATACTTTGCATTTTTCTTCATTTAATCCTTATACATTATGAGTCAATTTTATCATGTGCATACAAATTCAGGTATTTTTTCCTCAGGAAAACTATATTTTTTAGTCTTCTGTAGTTACAGTTTTTCTCATAAAACTAACTTCTCATTCATTCTTCAGTTTCAATGATCCTCAAAGCCCCATAATCCATTTTGCTGTTCACAGGTTTAATTTCCATAAGTTTAAATGTCAAGCTATATTGTGGGAAAGTCAAAAACAACAGTAACAGCTATGAGGTTTAATAAAGAGCAAAATAAATTATTTCTCTTTTCCATTTTCTTTTTAGTGTTAACTTAGGTTTTGGAGGGGTGTCATTCAAATGGGCACTTACAAGAGTGTTGTTTTTGTTGGTGGCATGTTTCCATCTTTTGATGACAGGATTGCTATATATTTGTAAAAATTCATAACACTGCCTGAAATACTATATATTTACGTAATTAATAGAAAATGGGGGCTGGCCCTGTGGCCACGTGGTTAAGTTCATGCGCTTTGCTTTGGCAGCCCAGCATTTTGCTGGTTTGGATCCTGGGTGCAGACGTGGGACTGCTCATCAGGCCATGCTGAGGCGGCATCCCACATGCCACAACTAGAAGGATCCACAACTGAAAATACACAACTATGTACTGGGGAGCTTTGGGGAAAAGAAGGAAAAATAAAGAAAATAATAATAAAATTAGAATATGAATAATTGAATCACTTTTCATTATGTTAGGAGAATGTTGAATGCTCATGAACCTTGATTTTTATGCATTCAACACTTCTTTCTAGCCTGTGGGATCCTTTAGAGGAAGAATTGAAGTGTTGAAAAGAAGAATTTGGCCTTCAACAGGCCTTTCTGGCAATCTTGTCTTAATTGAGGAAACACTTCCTAGGTTTCAGTGGCCCTCAGCTCATACTCATAATAGGAGTGAAGTGAGAGGGCTCCCAGAATCTGTCCTTGACTTTAAGTCGGGTTCTGTGAACAGATCTGTAGAAATATTGTGGTTCTGAAACACTGTGTTTTCTAGGTGGGCTCTGTCTGAGGACATCCTCATTCATGTGCATCAGCAGTGTCTTTCCGTTATTATCCATAGACCATTTCCAGCTCTTCATTTCCCAGCTCAAGCCTACTTGTGCCTGCTTATCGGAAACATCTTTAGAAATCCATGCAGATCCCACTGTGGAAAATTTCCACAGGACAATGACAGGGGCCTATGAGCACAGGAGCAGTGCTAGAACCCTTGTCATGGGCACAATCTGTCAGCCATAGCGACCAGGAACATTCCATATTTATCAGATCTGCTTGCTTACTTACTCAACAATACTTAAACTGAGTGACCTTGAGCAGGGAAATAAATGTCTCCAGAATTTGTCAAAATAAGTCGATTCATTAGCGTCTGCCTCCACACACCCCTTCCCCAAAAAGGCTTTGCCAGCCTCCTATTTATCTAAGAGTCTCCAAACCTCCCATGTTGGACATAAATTGCCCAAGGCATTCTAATACCAGAAACCATTCTCCTCGTCCAGTACTGCACACAGTTACAGATGCCAAGAAGACAACCGGCAGAGCCTTTTGTAAATAGAGGCCCTACCAGGGTCTGAGTTGATCCGCCACAGCCAGCTTCCCGTTTCTCTTTGGTCATGAATGCAGGCCACCTTGGGCTTATTAACCAGAGGCCTCCTCGTTGAAGAGATGGGTACTTACAGCATAGGGCCAAAAATGGCACTTCTGGCATATCACCCCTACACGAGAAAGTGTTCCCCTCTTCTCTGATTGATGTAATACATTCTGGAGGAGATGCCCCCTTTTAGACACATTGGCCACTTCAGAAGTGATGGGAGCACGTGAATGACCCCGCAGTTCTTATACTTTATGCACAGTGTGCACCACCGCAACTGATGGGTCCATTGCAGGGTTGCTGTGTTCTTTCCCTAGATCAAACAGTCCAGCCCTGATCACGGATTGGAACAGATTGATGAGTCAAACTCCAGGTAATCATGATAGCAACAGAGAATTCCCTGGGCAAGAATCAACCTCATCTGCACATTTTTACAGATCCTTTGTTACCATTAATCTAGCTGCCTCATCCCACCAATAGCAACAACTCTCTAGCTAAGGCACTGCTTTGGCATCAAAAACTCTGGGACAACTTACAATACCCAATTACAACTCAAAGTCACTCCTTACTCTGCACATATTTTACACCTCAGTCTGCAGGGGCTCATTTCATTGCTCAGGGTGATAAAGTCACTCAAATTTCTGAGACGTATACTGACACCTCAGACCTGACGGCATTAATCGTGACACATGGGACATTGTAATACAAAGTAAGAGGCATCTCACCTAAAGGTCTATGAAAAATTCAGTGGACTTCCCTCACCTCCCATGGACAATTTAGTGACTGTCCAACACAGTGGTCAGTCTCACTGATGTGAAAAGTGTGTGTCACAGGCAATAGAATCCATGCACATTAAGTCCAGGTGGAGGAGGGGTCCCTACAGCTGATGGCACATGGACTTTGTTGGGCTGCTCACCCCATCTGCTGGGCTGCTTGCTATGCTCAGACCACGGTAGAACCTTTTATACACAAATTACTCCTCCTGTCATATATGATCCTCCTGAAGCCAGAATTAAGGACTCACCAAGATGCTCTAGAAATTATTGATATTATCAGCTAATGTCTCAATATAGAAACATTGGGCTGTTGAGAAAGGTATTCAATGGATCTTATACCTCTCGTGACCCAGGCTGCAGCGTTCTTAGGATGGCTAGGGCTTACTTAGACGAACCTTGCTTTCTTCTATATAGATGTTCCTGCTGTTGGAGTTACATTCAATCCCCAGGCTTTTGTTTTGATCATCAGGATTACTGGCACATTGTATTTAGAGCCTTTCTATACTAGGCTTTTCTGTCAGAATGAGCGCTCCTACAGGTCTTTGGTTTCTTGTAATTGTGCCCCCTGGCCACCACTCTTATATCCCACTCCAGGATCTTCCTCCTAACATCACCTGTAGTCTGTGCCCTGTGTCAATATTTCATTTTGGGTGCTCTCTCTCAAACCCCATTGAGTCCATGCAACATAAATGTGCTGTTTTCCTATCATTTGCACTCGTATGCTCGTCGTCATGGGAGTCACTGGTAGTGACCTGAGCACACATGATGTCATTCAAACAATGTATCCTTAATGCCAATCAAGAAATGTCCAAAACACTGAAAACACATGCAGCAGACAGCTAACATTCGAGATGTTTTCCCTGAAGGAAAACCCCCTGGCAGCCATGGTAGCTGCTGACTACTTTGGTTTAGACTATTTATTAACCAGGCAGGGAGAGCTCTGTTCCCTAAAAGGGCTGCTCGCTGCATGTGGGCAGGCTGCACTGGCAGGGTGCCACCAAGAACACAACAGATGAGACAACAAATTAGAGTAAACAATAAGATTACTAGAATATTTGAACATAGTTCTGGAACCACACTGACACTTTCCTGGATCTCCAACACCTTGGGATGACGGGAGTCAAATATTTGGAGGCTTTGTGATCCTACTTATAATGGCTTGTCCTTTTCACATGACTTTTCAATTAATACTGAAATTCAAATTCATTTAATGAGATGTGTCATCATTCAGTCAATAAGTCTCAGGAGTGAACTTTAATAAAGACACTGACCTCACTGTTAATATCTGAGTCTTCATCGGCTTTTAGATACCGGCTCACCCTGTCTGGTCCACAACGGGTAAATAAATCAGGAAGGGTGACACATGCCCATTTTCTTCTTATGCCAATGGGTAGGAAGGTCAAATCTTGAAAACTTGCAGCCTCTACTCATATACACCTTAAGAGTTCAAGCCATTCTCCCTTGCACTAGCCACCCCAACCCACTTACCCTTGCCCTGCTCTCCTTAGAAAGTACCTTTGAGTCATAAACATATTTCAATTAACTTGATGCATGTTGAGACATAGTCTTGACATCCAATCCCCTTTTAGGTTTTGGTGTTAATAGTGCCCCCAAAAGGGCAATTCTAAAACCGTAGGTAAACAGTGGAAAGTGTCTTTTGGGTGACAAAATGGTATTCAGCTTAGGGAGTTTTTATAAGATGAAAATAAATCTGAATACAGAGATTCCAATATAATAATGTTTTTAGATGCATTAGCTAGAAAAAAACTTTGAGGGGCCGGCCCCATGGCCAAGTGGTTAAGTTCGCGTAATCCACTTCAGTGGCCCAGGGTTTCACTGGTTCAGATCCTGGGCGTGGACATGGCACCGCTCATCAGGCCATGCTGAGGTGGCATCCCACACGCCACAACTAGAAGGACCCACAATTAAAAATACGCAATTATGTACTAGGGGGCTTTGGGAGAAAAAGGAAAAAAAAAAAAAACTTTGAAACCACCCACATGGCACTAGCAGGAGAATTAATAAGTGAAAATGGAATCATCTCACAAGGGGAAATAGCAACAGAAGTGAATGGATGGTTTCTGTTCTGACATGTAGAGAGCTCTGAGTGATCATCTCATCTTCACAACAAGAAAAAAACTGAACCACGTAAAAAGGAACACCTCTTCTTAGATCCAAGAGAGATTTGAAATTACATGGCAAACCAATGCTCCCAAAATGAGAGACCAGCAAGTATAGAGAATTATCGCTTACCTGCAGGAGAAACTGGAGCCAACAACCTCTGGGAACACAAACTGTTGATGAATTTCCTGGAGACACAGATGGGACTAGCTTGAGAGTTAGAAGCTTTAGGGATTCCAGTCTTAGTAAATTCCCAAAATTTATGTATTTTTCCATCAGGAGCCCAAGGAGGTTCTTGTTCTGGAGACTAGAAAAAGTTGTCTCATGCTTCATGCAGGACATGATGTACACAGAAAGCATTCTGTGCTCTGTAACTCAGGCCATCTTTCAAAGAAAATTAATCTGCCAAAACCTTGCCTGGTTGGGGAAAGAGCAGTCAGACAGCTCCCAGACTCTTCAGGATTTCTCTCTGACCAAAGGGGAGGAATAAATGCTAAGAACATATTCTGAACTTCACAGTCCAGGGATTCTGTCCCATCAAAACATTACAGGTTTAATCATAACATAAGATATTCCCTTGGGCCAGCAGCCCTGTGGCGCAGCGATTAAGTTCACACATCCCACTTTGGCAGCCCAGGGTTTGCCAGTTCAGATCCCGGGTGCAGACCTACACAGTGCTTATCAAGTCATGCTGTGGCAGGCATCCCACATATAAAATAGAGGAAGATGAGCACAGATGTTAGCTCAGGGCTAATCTTCTTTTTTTTTTTTTTTTTAAAAAAGAGCATATTCTCACCCTAATACCTTCCCACATGTCAACAGGGCTCCAGTATAGAAACAGTGGGTTAAAACAAGATTGCAAGACACAGACGACCCAAGATTGAGTTTCGAGGGATGTGCAAACACACCAGGGGAGAAAAACACAAGGACACTTGTATATGGCATAAGGCGTAGTAAGAGAGCTTACAGCGATAAACACCTGTATTAAAAAAGAAAGGGGCTGGCCCTGTGGCCTAGTGGTTAAGTTGGTGTGCTCTGCTTCAGTGGCCCAGGGTTTTGCTGGTTCAGATCCAGGGCGCGGACATGGCATCGCTTATTAGGCCGTGCTGAGGTGGCGTCCCACATGCCACAACTAAATGTACAACTGTGTACTGGGGGATTTGGGGAGAAAAAGCAGGAAAAAAAAAAAAAAGATTGGCAACAGTTGTTAGCTCAGGTGCCAATCTTTAAAAAAAAAAGATATTGGGGCCGGGCCAGTGGTGCAGCAGTTAATTATACCTCAAAACAAAAAAAAGACAGCAAGTTAAGGGAACTAGAAGAACAACAAACTAAACCCAAGTACTCTGAAAACGACAAAGCATGTTCAAAAGGAATTCAGAAATGTATCAATAAATGGGAAAATATCCCAGTTTCATGGTTTTCAGGACTTAACATTGTTGAAATGGCACGGCTGCACATAATGACCTAGAGATTCAATGCTGATACCGATCATAATCCCAGCTGTACCCCTTATAGAAATTGGCAAGCTGTTTCATGAGTTCATGTAATTGCAAGGGAACCAGAATAGCCAAACCAATCTGGAAAAAGGAAAACAAAGTAGTAGGATTAACATTTCTGGATTTCAAAACTTCATACTAAACAAAGGTAATCAACCTAGCGTGGTACTGACACAAGGATGGACACAGAGATCTGTGGAAGATTGAGATTAGAGAAATAACCCCACATTTATGGTTAACTGATCTTTGACAAAGGTCCCCAAAGTGAGGAAAGAATATTCTTTTCATAAATTGGTGCTGGGCCAACTGGATAGGCATAGGTAAAAGGAAGAGATTGTGCCCTTAAAACCCACAACATACAGTGACTTACCAAAAACCATCAAAGACCTAAAGATGAGAGTAAATGTATGGCAAAAGTATATAAAACATAGAAAAAAATTCCTGACCTTGGATTTGGCAAAAATATGTTAGATATGACACCAAGAGGAATAATAGGAAAATAATAGGGAATGTAGGCTTATGTACTATGGATAAGTACTATGGTACTAACCTTATGGGACCACTGTGGTATATGTGGTCAGTTGTTGACCCAAACTTCGTTATGTGGGGCATGACTGTGTATGGATTATACCTCAGTAAAGCTGTTCACGTATGTAAATAAATGGATTAAGAACTTTACAGTGCACAAGAGTTTTGCAATCCCTTCTCTGAGGCTTATTAGAATTTCCAGGTTAATATACACGTCCATCACCCGACATAGTTACTTTGTGTGTGTGTGTGTGGTGAGAATGCTTCATCCACTGTCTACAGTTATACATATATCAAGCCATCAGGTTGAAATCTTTAAATATAGACAATATTATTAGTCAATTATGCCTCAGTAAAGATGGGGAAAAATTTTATAGGTGCATCCCATATTTACATAAGGATTTATTAGTTTTCTTATATCAGTGAAATTAGGAATCAATTGCCTTAGGGGTATTATAACCATTTACATTTCAAACTTCTCTGGGGGCAAAGGCAAAAAATGACCTAAAATAAATTTATCTCCAGTGTAAAATGTAAAACTGAGGATTTAGTGACCACATCTCACAGCTTGTGGTTGGTGAGAAGAGTCCCTGCACCCAGCTAGGGCTGTCGGGTTCCTACTTCCTGCCAGAGTCAAGATTTCCCGGGTTCTCTATCTTAAGATGAAACGAATCGGGGTGGGGCAGGGGTGGGTGGAAGGCTGAAGGCTGGCAAGGCGGAAGATCAAAATGGAACCAGACACAGATGGTGAGGTCACATTTAAGTGTCTGTTTCTAAACAAGGGTCAGGCTACCATGAGTGGCCTCGCAGCCTTACACCAAGCCCTTGACCCTTAGAGGACATAAGATCCTCTTGTTCCCGTGTCACCCAGCCTGGTCCGCTGTGTACTTGCTCCTTCTTGAAACTGAATCAGGAAGTGCGTGTGCAGACCTGTTAACCACGCGTTCATAAAGCGGTGGGGTAAACAACAGTGTGGTCCCAGGCCTGGAAAACATTCTGTTTGAATGTAAATGACCCAGAAGGGGACAGGTTAGGGGCCACTGGCGCTAGCTTGTTGGGCAGACCCCGGCGTCTTCCTGCTCTGCTGTCACTCAGGTTTCGGAGGCCGTTTCCATTGGGAACTGTCCAATCCGGGACTCTGCTGAGGCAGGCGGGTGGGACGGTGCGCTGCACTGGCACAGATGTCCCTTGTCACTCCTGCTGGGCTTGGGTTTGCGTGATGCCTGCCCTAAATGGTCCCTGATGACTCTGCCGCAGCCTCTATCCCGCTGTGGCCTGCACTGGCCGTGGAAGTCCTAGGAAGGACTCAGGGGACCCAGGAACCCTACAAATGATGAGTGTGCGGCCCCGGGTGAGGACGCGGGAGGAGGGGCTGGTGGGAAGCGGTGGGGCGGGCCTGGCCTCCCGCGGTCCCCTCCGGGCTCTGCGGCCCCGAGTCCGCGGTGGCGCCGCTCGGCCCTCAGGCCCGGCCGCAGCGTGGGGGCGGGGCGGCAGCCGGGCCCCGGGCGTCCGGTGGTCCCTGCGCGCGCGGCGACTTGGGCCGGAGCGTCTCTGGGCCGCTGTGTGCCCGCACTCCCGCGTGTCCCAGACGGTGCGGGGCCCGCGGGAGGGTCCGCAGGACAGTCCAAAATGGTTGGAGTCATGATGTTCGAGCCCCTCTGACTCCTATAAATGCATCCAGAAACTCCCTCACCACGAATCGTCCGTTTGTCACTCTGCCTTTCTACTGTAAGCGCAGTGAGGGGACCAAAGGTGAGCCTCTCCTCGCTCAGCCCCCATGTCCCCTGCTGCAGGCTCCCTGGGAAACATCAGCTCTGCTGTGGACTCACATTCCCACAGACCTCACTCCGTCCTCCCACGGTGGCTCCACCATCTTCACTGAACACTTTCTCCTCAGGATCAGTGTCCAATTTGTGCCCTTGAGATTTTAATTTACGGAGGTGACTAAGTAACAACATGGACAGGCCAATGACATTGAAAGTTTATTACTTACACTTCCCAAGATGAGGGCACACCACGCCAGGCAGGGTCACAGGGGCTGCATCAGGGTTGCTCAGGAGGCAGAATCAGTAGGGGGACACAAACCTAGGCCACAGCCTTCATTTGGGTCCCACAGGAAATGTGAGTCAGGGCAGAGTGAGCAGCTCAGGACCGGCTGCTTTGAACAATCCCAGCAGCCTCTGGGGCCTAGGGACGGTCCTCAGTCATCTGGTTCCTGGCCCTGGGTGGGTTTAGAGTGGGGAATACTGTCTGGCGTGTGAGAGGCAGATAAGGAGGTCTGTAGGGACAGGGCACTGGATTGGGCGGGATGCACGTGAGAGGCCTGCTCCAGACAAGCTGTCCACCGCCAATGTGGAATGAGGTGCCCCTGGGAGGGGCAGGGTCTCCCTATGTCCGAGAGGCCCCCCCAACAAGTCGAAACACCTAAGAGACACAAAATAAAGCACATGATTAACACAATCAGAAGGAAGATGAGGATTTGTCTGCTCACGTCAGTTCAATTGAACATGGTGAGGAAGGGGCTACCAGGGCAGTTAGGCACCAAATGACATAACAGCATTCCAGATTTTAAGGACATACACACATAGCCCCCTAGACGGACATACAAAATCACACAGCCTTTCTCACTGGACACACATGTGCCCACACCCACACACAGACCCTCAGAGATAACGGCCCAGATACCCACAGCCCAGGCCCTGAAGAGGGAGAGTCAGGGCCCACGATGGCTGCAGTGATCACCGTGTTCCAGTCCCTCACGCTGCTATGATTACTCCCAGAAATGTGTTCCCACCATGTGCCCCTTCCTCAATTTGCTTTTCCATCGGAAGCTCAGTGTGGACAACAAAGGTCTGTGCATCCTCACCAGGCAGCAAGTCCTTGGCTATGGTGTCCACAGTCTGAGATCCATCACCCCCGAGGTCTCACTTGTGCACAGACCTTGCATGGGTCAGTCCCATTGGCCACCCTCATTGCTCCATCCTGAAATATTTGCTGATAGGGGGGTGGAGGCCTTAGACCTCTGTCCCTAGGTCTCCAACTACACAGACATCACCTTGGGGACCCAGGAAAGCACTGGAAGTTGTTGCAAGGGCACATTGGGATGTGGTTTGGTTCATTTCTGCCTCTTTCGTTTCAAGAAACAGTAGGTGTGACATCTGACAAAGGACAGGGCACCAACTCCTGTGCCTGCCCAATCCAGGAAAGGTAGAAACACCTGCCATTCCTGCCCCTTCCTTTGGCGTGGTGCCTATTCCATTCTAGGAGCCAAATGAAGGGAGGGGGCCCCATGACCGCGGATGGGCTGGCTGAGATCACCATTTCCCACAGGTGTTGGGACTAGAACTCTGCAGGGTGAGTCTTGTTCCAGAAAAAGTAAGCACTGGCCTTGGTGGGTGGGTTCCAAACTCACTCTGGAGGCGGGTTCTGAGGTGAGAGAGCCAGGCGTGGTCAGCACATGAGCCACTGAAACCACAGGATGGAATGTGCCAGAGATCTCAGGAGAGTGATTTAGGCACAGCTGGGCACCTGAGGGACTCCCAGAGCTAGGACAAGGCAGACCTTGTCTTTTTGACATTATTGGTGATTTTGAGACTACTGAGAAAGTGTGCTTGTTGGTGCAGAAGTGACGTTTATGTGACAGTGTGGAGTACTGTGTTCCAGGGGCCTGTGCCTCATGACATGGGCTCTGGGTTCTGCCACTGCCTCACCTCACAGTCACCTGGGGCTGCAAATGTGAAAATACAGGAAATCTCATTTAAAATGGAGTCAGGAAGCCCTGAAAGGGGACTACTATTCACCAGACCTTGCAGAGCTAAAACAGAAAAAGTGTCCCTCCCATTCTCCAACAGGTGGAAGCTTACTTTACAGTCTCCAGCAGAAGGAAGAATTTCTCCTTGCCCAGCAACAGCCCAGCCAATGAGAAACCACCACTGTCACCCCCTGATCTCTCATTCTCCTTCCATGGACTTCTGTTCCAAACAGCCCCTCCCAGCTTCCTCCTGTCCTCTATAAAAGCAAACCCATCTGTTCTATTCTCCCTGCCTGCCTATGGTTCACCACAGTTTGCATGTCCTGAATCGTGCTTCCTCTGCTGCTCCTGAATAAACACATTTAACTTGTAAAATAATTGGCCCTTTTGATTTTAAGGTCAATACAACAGAAAATTTCCAGAGTGGGACAGGTGTTGCATTTAAACATTTTTCCCAGCAAGGAGGCACAGAGTAGAATTGAAATGGGAAGCTTAAGAGCTGGAAACGGCCTCAAGACCTGATGTTGATGCCCAAGGGTTAGATTAGGATGTGCCCAGGCAGATCCCACGTGTGCAGATGCACCTTTATGCTTGTTTCAGACCACCGCATTCCCAGGATATGACCCAGGAAACCTGGTGTCAACTCAAAGATGGAGGCCGGGAGCCCTATCACTTTCTCACCAGTTATGTGAACGACTTGAGGGCAGGTGTAGCCCTAGAGGGAGTTTTCTAAGTCAAAGTGGGTACCAGGAAAAGTCTATAGTGGCCTATGTCTTTCTTCCCCAGTCTTTCCTCTTTATCCTAAGAAGCAACCCAACGTGGTGGAAGGAAGTGTTACACACGTAGCAATCAAACTTCAGGAGAGTTTCATACTATCCTAGCATGTGAAAACAGTTTTGTGGTTTTATCTCAATTGTTCTTTGCATATATACATACTATTTTAAGAGAAGTTGTGAGTTCATGAATATGCAGTTATACCCCCATCAGGTTGGAGAACAACCCAACCCAAAGGAACTCAACCCAAAGGAAGTGTCCCATGGTGCCCATTAGTACTGAACCCTCCCACTCTTAAGAACTGATGTGTTTAGGTTCCTATACCTTTGCCTTTTCCAGAGTGTGATATAAATGGAACACCATGTTGTCTTATGAGTCCTTTTGGAAACTTTGATGGAACATTTGTAAGAGTGAATGATTATACAAACCTTGCAGCATTCTTGTGAGTTTAAAATGATTGACATTGCCCATTATGTCTTCAAAACTGAGAGATTCCACTGTTACGAGCTCTGTGAATTTTGGTGAAACCCCGTGCTTAACTTTCTTCACTTGCATCATGGGAGGAAGGACAGGGACAGGGGATCAAATGATACACTAATAATTACAGAATCACATAATTTCTACACTGCTCAGAAAACATAAATTAGCACTGAAAAAAAGGGAACAAGTTTGGATTTCCATTGTTGTTTAATGAAACAAAAGCTCTTTCAAGTTTTACCCTGTTTTCTATAAGATCTCCTGGAAATGTAAACATATACAAATGATCCCTGAAAACAGTAAAAATGTGCTTTGGTGGCTTTGTGAATCAATGAAACAAAACCTCCCAACTAATCCTCTTATAAAAAGGCATAGAAAATTTCCCAGTTTGAGGATATCAAATTTACCTCCTTTGCCACCACACAGGACATTACTCAAAATGATAGTGAGCCTCTGTCTACAGGTCACATTAATTACTCCTTGGATTACTACCCTCTAAACATTCATACTTTTTATTTTTTATTTTTCATTGAGTTTATAATAGTTTCCATCATTGTGAAATTTCAGTTGTACATTATTTCTTGTCCATCACCATATAAGTGCTCCCTTTCACCTTCTGTGCTCACCTCCCATCCCCCACCATCATAGCTCTTTTTAACATTTTAACCAGGAAATCACATTGAACTTCCACAGGTGTCATTTTACTCAGAGGAAAAACCATGACGGGCTACAACTGTGCAGACGACCAGAACCCTTCCTCAAACTGGGAGAAACTCAAAGGTTTCACGGGGGACAAATTGTCTCTCAGTCTGAATAGCAGCAAAATGATATGCTGAATCAAAAGGCAATTTCAAATCCTTTCAACTGATGTTAAACAGAAACATAAATACCACAAATACCCATGGCCCAAGCAATGAAAGTCTGGAGTTCCAGATAATTGTGTATCTGGATCATGATCAAATAGCACATGCAATAAAAGATCTAACTACAGCTAAAATGAAGATGAAATATGTCCATGCCTTTATCTTTATGGGGAATCATTTCTGATAAACCCAAGAATGCAGGACTTTTGGTATAGCTGTCCATTGTTCACATCCACACCTGAGCAGTTCCTCCAACAGTGTTTGAAATATATTATATCGTGGGAAAACAATCAGCAATGTTGACATCCTCACTCACTGAGGCCCCTACCTACCATAGAGAAGATATGCGTCCATCAATGGACGAATGGATACAGAGTTTTGGTATATATAAATATACAGACAACAGAGTATTATTCAGCCATAAAAACAAGGAATTCCTACCATTTCTGAAAACAAATGAAACTTGAAGAATTATGCTAAGTGAAATAAGTTAGACAAACACTTTATGATCTCTCTTATATGTGGAATCTAAAAATACAAAACCAAAACAAACTCATATAAAAGAGATCAGACTGCTGATTACCGGGGCGGTGGGGGGGAGGCAATTGGAGGAAGGTGATCAAAAGGCACAAACTTCCAGTTATAAGATAAATAACTACTAGAGATGTAATGTACGACATGATTATAGCTAACACTGCTCTATGAAACAAAGGAAAGCTGTTAAGAGAGTAACAGCTATGAGTTCTCATCAGAAAGAGGTTATTCTTTTCTTTCCTCTCTTTCTATTGTGTCTATATGAGAAGATGAATGTTAGGTGATCTACTGTGGTAAGCATTTCACCATACGTGTAAATCAAACCATCATGTTGGACACCTTAAATTTATACAGTCGTGTATGTCAATTTTTTCTCAATAAAACTGGGGGGTGGCTGGCCCCGTGGCCGAGTGGTTAAGTTTGCGAGCTCCGCTGCAGGCGGCCCAGTGTTTTGTTGGTTCAAATCCTGGGCACGGACATGGCACTGCTCATCAAACCACGCTGAGGCAGCGTCCCACATGCCACAACTAGAAGGACCCACAACGAAGAATATACAACTATGTACTGGGGGGCTTTGGGGAGAAAAAGGAAAATAAATAAATAAAATCTTTTTAAAAAAACCCAAAAACTGGGGGAAAACAGGAGTCAGAGACTTCTGGTCTCTCATCTGTCATGTAAGGAGCTCAGAAGCCAGATTCCAGTCCTCAGAAGAAAAAAGCCAAGAAACTTGAAATCAACAACTCTTCCATCAGAGAATTGAGGTCACAGGGTAAACCATTGTCTCCACAATTAGAGAGAGAAGATGTAGGCATTTAAAAATATACCCCAAATATTCTGTTCTTAACAAGGCATGCCCTAGAAGTAATCTGTCTCACGAGAGCAGTTAACTGACTGGGATTTTTCCAGAATCCACCTGACCTGGGGGGAGGGAAAGAGCCAACTTGAGTCTTTTCTAGCCTTTTCTGCTCTGAAAGGTGGCACACGTGGGAGGATAGAATTTTTTTCCCCTCCTGACACCAAACCTTTGGTCTGTGTTCCAATGCCACTTCTCCAACTCTGCATCACCAAAGAGGTGTGCAACACTTCAGTTCAATTCTAACACTATGTACCCAGAGTTCACGTCAGACTCCACAAGACAAGAGCTCAGTCCCACAATCTGCCCCTTCCTTAGATGCCAACCACAGATGTGGTGCCCAGGCTGCCAGCATTTCCACTCAGCTGTCTACAAATTCGTAGATTCCCTCAACATCTTATTACATTTGGTAATTTACTGCAATGATTATGAGATCTCAGCAAACTGCTTTAATTACTATTATTGGTTTACTATAAAGGATACAACTGAGGAACAGACAAAAGGCAGAGTTGCGTAGGGCAAACTAGGGTAGTGGTATGGGTGAGGGGAGTGGAGGCGGAGGGGGCGGCAGAGATTCCACATCCTCTCTGGACACTCCACCCTCCCAGCACCTGCATGTGTTCACCAACCCAAAAACTCTCTGAATTTTGTCTTTCAGGGTTCTGATGGAGGTTTCACTACATGGGCTCAATTTATTCAATCATTGCCTCTTGGTGATTAACTCAGTCTATAGCCCCTCTCCTCTAAACAGAGGCTGGGAGCTGGGTCTGTAAGTTCCAAGCCTCTAACCAAGGCTGGGTGTTTCAAGTGTCCAACCATCATCCTGAAGCCATCTGGGAGCTGGCCAAGAGTTGTCTCATTAAAACAAAAAACCCTCTATCACCCTTATCGCTCAAGAGGTTTTTGCTAGGAATTGAGGACAAAGATCTAATATCTTTCTCATTATACCACAGAAGTTCAAGCCCAGGGACACAGGCTCACTAAAAGATTGAGACCCAATCACTGGACTGGAGAATGCTTCCCCTCTGCCCACACCTCCCTCTACCTCAGTTGGGCTCTTGTTTAATGTTAGTGGACTACACTGAAGGAACTAGATGCTTTCCAGTAACATCAGGAGGAAGGCAAGGATGTCCCCTCTCACCACTCCTAGTAAACTCTGTACCAGAATTCTTAGCTAATGCAATTAGACATGAAAAGTGAATAAAAAGGTACATAAATTGGGAGGCAGGAATTTAAACTGTGCTTGTGGCACAAGATTGTCTATGGAGAAAATCTCAAAGATCCCCAATAAGAAACCCCTTGAACTAAGAAGAGTGTAGAGGAAGGATGAAAGATAAAATGTTAATATACAAGTCAATAGTTTCCTATAGATCCACACACATATAGTGAACTCATCTTTGACAAAGGACCTGAGGCCATTCAATGGGAAAATGTAGTGTTCAATAAATACTGCCAGAAAATCTTGCCATCTGCTGGCCAAAAAAAAACAATCTAGACACAGATTTGATAAATTTCACCAAAATTAACTGAGAATTAATTATAGACCTTAGTGTTAAAAGTAAAACCACAGCAGTCCTAAAATATAACCGAGTTTAAAATCTAGGCAACCTTTGTTTCCTCATTAATTCTTAGATACAACACCAAAAGCAAGATCCAAGATAGAAAAAAAGTTTGACTTCATTAAAATGAAAACCTCTGCTCAGTGAAACACAGTGTTAAGAGAATGAAAACACAAGTAAAAGACTGGCAGGGGGCCAGCCCCATGGCCGAGTGGTTAAGGTCGCGCACTCCACTGCAGTGGCCCAGGGTATCGCTGGTTCGGATCCTGGGCACGGACATGGCACCGCTCGTCAGTCCACATTGAGGCGGCGTCCCACATGCCACAACTAGAAGGACCTGCAACTAAGATCTACAACTATGCACGGGGGGCATTTGGGGAGATGAAGGAGAAAAAAAAAAAAGGACTGGCAGATAATCTTTGGAAATCACTTATCTGATAAAGGACTGGTAACCAAAACAATCCAAAGAACTCGTAAAACTTAACAAAAAGGGGCTGGCCCCGTGGCCGAGTGGTTAAGTTCGCGAGCTCTGCTGCAGGCGGCCCAGTGTTTCGTTGGTTCGAATCCTGGGCGCGGACATGGCACTGCTCATCAAACCAGGCTGAGGCAGCGTCCCACATGCCACAACTAGAAGGACCCACAACGAAGAATATACAGCTATGTACCAGGGGGCTTTGGGGAGAAAAAGGAAAAAAAATAAAATCTTTAAAACTTAACAAACGAAGACAATCAACCCAGTTAAAAATGGGCAAAAGATCTGAACACACACTTCAGCAATGATATACAGATGGTAAATAACTACATGAAAAGATGCTCAAAATCATACATCACTAGGAAACTACAAATAAAAAAAGAATGAGATATAACCAGACACTTATAACGGCTGAAATTAAAACAGTGAGAACAGTGAACGATGGTGAAGATGGAGAGCACCAGGAACCCTCACTCACTGCTGGTGGGAACGGAGAATGGAATGTCTACTCTGGAAAAAAGGCAGTTTCTTAACCTAAGCCTACTCTTACCATACGATTGCAGCCATCACGTTCTTTGAATGACGGACGCCGTCCTGCAACCACTGCAGCCCAGTGACACAGTCGGGGCACACGAAGCACGGGAGTTGCAAAGCAACCCCTGCAGGAACGGCCGAGGGTCCTCCTTGCTCAAACTGCTGTTACTAGTTGCTGTATTGGCTCTCTTCATGACGCTTGTGCTTACCCAGGGGAATCTGCTGGGAAAGGTGAATCCCACTGTAGTAGACAAGAAAGACCCTCTTCTGACTAACACTCCTTCAACAACCCCAGGGCCCTGCCGAAGAAAGAGGGTTAAAGGGTCAAATGTCTCAGTGTGGGAGTTATATAAGAGGGTGTGGGGCCCTGTGTGTGCCTCGTCTAAACATACCTTGGGTCATCTTTGCCCCAAGGCTTGTTCCGTCCTCCAGCATAACCCGAGTCTCACCCCCGGCAAAGAATACTGTAGAGATCTATAAATACTAACTGCACTTACCCAGAAAATGAAAAGAACAGCTCTTTCCCAGGACTGAATAAGGGAAGTAACCTTTAGAAACTGCTGATGACCCAGATAAATTAAGGAAGTAAAATGATATCATGGGGAAAAATCAAGCTACTTCAGGGGAGAAAATAGATGTACCCCAGACGCTTATGTAATCCTCAAAATATATATAAACACACGCTTGACAATAAAGACTTCAGACTTGCTTCCACCAACTTGGCGTGCAGTCTCATTCCCTTCCCTTCGCCGACGCCGTTCATCCCTCAGGAACCTGGACTCTGCTGGAGCTGGACTCTGGCATTTGACCTTACCCAAATGAGCTGAAAACAGATGTTCACAAAAATCCCTGCACGTGAATGTTGACAGGAGCTTTGTGCCTTATTGTCGAGACCTAGATGTAACCAAGATAATTTCAATAGGCGAAAGGATAAACAATCATGGGGACATCCATAGGGTAAAACATTCTTCAGTGATGAACACAAATGAGGTTATCAAGACAGAAATGGAGACATTTTAAAATCATATTGCTAACTGAAAGAAGCCAGTGTGACAAGACTATACACTGTATGATTCCAAGCATGGGACATTCTACAAAAGATTAAAGATGACACTGAAAGATCATTGGTTACCAGGGATTTGGGGGAGGGAGGGATGAATGAAAAGGTGGAGCACAGGAGATTTTTAGAGAAGTGCAAGTGTTCCACATAAATGCAATGTAAAGTGTTACATTAGCCAAAGCCCAGAGATTGCATAACACAGAGTCACCACTAATGTAAACTATGAAATTTCATGCATCAAATTGGTTCATCAAATGTATCAAATGTACCACAGCAATAGGAGATATAAAATGTAGGGCAAACTGTGTGGAGGCAGAGGAATTATGTGGGAAATCTCTGTACTTTCCAGTCAAGTTTTCTGTAAACCTAAAACTGACCCTAAAACAAAGCAGTCTACTAGGAAAACAGTAAAGACAGGCACATTAATATTCACCCCTGGTGAGTGACTGATGACAGAAACAGACCATCTTTCATTCAACTAATTTGAACTTATTTTAATAAGTCATTAAGTTTCTCTCTGAGGCCTGCACCCTGAGACTTGGAAGAGAGGAGGAACTTCCATTGAACGCCTTGTTAAGAGCCCAGCACTGTATATTCTGAGAAGTGAAATGAGTGCCTTCATTACTATCAGTAGTGTCTGCAACTCCCATGTGGACAGAGTGTCCTGGTGAGACTTTGTGTGTGGCCTTCATATGCGCAGAGACAAGTGTTACTTTGATTTATATTGTAGGTAACTGTGAGGCAAGAGACTCCTAGAGTCCTTTTACCACAAAGGGGCAACTCTCAGGGAATCGCCCATAGTCTGTAATGTCTGCAGCTGGAGCCCAATGTTGGGCAGTGCTACGATGAATGCTTGCTGTGTGGTCAGTGCGTTGACCTTTGTGTCCAGTCCATCAGAGATGTCACAATTAAGACATGAAAAGCAGCAACTCCGCCTGGGCTCCATTTGTGCAAATGTGATGATGTCATCCCCAAAGTCTAGGAACTCCTGTTGCTTTACACTTAGGGAGTCCTAAGGAGCTCCCCAGGGAGCCTGGGATTCTGGGAAAGGGGTGACCTCTTTCAACACCATTTTACCCGGCAGGAGACTGAAGACAGGGAATATCACCTCCTCCTGGAGGTAGGATATCCCAGAGGGCCCAGGTTTGGCTTCATCATGTCTCCAGGGGGTCTCCATAACCATGCTGAGCTCCTGGAGTGCTGTTCCCAGGTCACAAGTCAAAACGGACTGCTCGATACATGGTCCCATGCTCAGGGCCATCTACTGGCAGGACAGCCTTGTAAGTAGAGGTCACTGCAGCTCTAATGACATATACTGTGGGCCTAGGGCTGGTTCTTCCATCAGAAGCCCATGGACAACTTAAGGCCACCATGGGTACCCTAGAAGGCATGACAGAAGGTCACTGAGGCCTCTATAGTGAAGGAGTCTCTGAGGGCACTAACAGGAGAGTTGGTTGTATGACAATTTAAAGAGAGTCTCCAGACTTTTGTGGTAGGGGGTGCCACTCCAGGTGGAAAATTTGCACGCAACAGCACAAATAGGCTCAAATAAAATTTGAATACAAGAAATATGTTACCTCTGGAACAGGAGAAGAACCCAGGAGATGCTGTGGATGCTGAGGGAAACAACAGCTATTTCTTCATAGTTTCAGATTATCAAATAATTTCCAGAAATTTAACAAAGTTGTCAGGGCCTCACATCATATGAGTGACAATGTGCCATCCAGTTTTTGTGAGCTCGTTTTTACAATATTTGTATGTCCTAAATGTCCTCAGACAAGATGTCATTAATGTAATGTCATACCTGTGTTCTTGGAGAAACCAGGATGCAGTTCAGACCCCGCCTGCAATGACTGTGGGAGGGCACAGCTGTGGAAGATCCATGAGGACAACCCAGTAAAGGGGCATCATGTCCCTCAGAGGGAAGGCCAAGTGCAGCTGAGAGGCTGTGGACACAGGACTGGACAGAACAGACTCAGCCAGATCTGTGAGAACAGGATACTTATCAATTGTTGACTGGATGGAATCCATAATTTCCACACTGTGGGGACTGGGTACAGAGGTCTGTGTGGTGCAGCCACAGCCTCGAGTTGAGGTAAACCACTCTGAGGGGTCATCCACTCTTTCCAGGTTTATATATAACAGGACAAATTGAGTTGTTAAAAGAAGGACTGGGGGGTAGCCCCATGGCCAAGTAGTTAAGTTCACGTGCTCTGCTTTGGTGGCCCTGGGTTTTGCCAGTTTGAATCCTGGGCGTGGACATGGCACTGCTCATCAGGCTTTGCTGAGGCAGCATCCCACATGCCACAACTAGAAGGACCCACAACTAAAAAAAAAACCATACAACTATGTTCCAGGGGGCTTTGGGAGAAAAAGGAAAAATAAAATCTTTAAAAAAAAAAAAAAAAGCAGCACTGGGAATAATCAACCCTTCGTTAACTAGATTTTCTGTAGTTTTCAATCCTTCAACGTCCTGTGTAATTTACATTGGGCCATATTAACTACTTGATTTGAAGCATATCATCTTTGGAGTCCTAATTTGTCATGCTAATTTATAAGTGGCAAACACTTCACTTAATTTTAAATTCTTATTCACTGGATCACAGCTTCCCAGCTCACTATGGGATGTTTTAGGACAATGAAGGCCATGACCATGGAGAATTTAGGCAAGACCATAGTTCTGATGGCTAAAGATGAAACATTTCTATTTGTCTTCTATATTATATTCACTAACACCCCTAAGATCATCAGGGGCACCTTCCTTAAATTTAGTGGGACCCCAGGTATCACTGCAATTTGATACCTAGGGTTGATTAAGTGCTTGAAGGTTTCTGAACTAGTGCATTACATCAGAGAGCAAAAGTAATTCAGAACCTATGTTGTAGAGGCCCAAAAGGCAAGCAGTGTACCTCCATCTGTTTTGTTATGTAAATTCTTTCAGTACATTCTGGATTCCCAATTGGGTCAAATTATGGACCTTTGTTTCAGGAATTTACCTATCGTTTCCTTCCTCCTGATCTTTCCTGTTTCATTATCTTCCTCATGGGATAGATTTCAGGGGAGGGGATTCCTCTCTACCCTGGTATTTATAATTTTTTTTTCCACCCAAGAGCCTCAAAACAGTGCCATCAGGGTGAGGAGCCCACCCTTGACACTGTTTGCTTTATAGGGTTTAAACCTGGGGCTTAAGTCAGGTTTGAATTGATATATTGTGCAACAGGGGAGCCATGGGTGTTGTCCCCCATTACCCTGAAGGTCAGGATCTTTGTGGCAGTAGAGGCAGGGGCAGCAGCAGAGGTACTGAAGGGTGATGGGAAGCCCTCTGCTATCAGGAGTGTGGACTCAGCCTGCCACCTACAGCTCGTCTCTCCCTCCCTCTTACCTTTCTTTTAAATGATTGCTGTTTCCGCAGTGACCCTCCGATGGACCCACCTCCTGCAAAGGGTATAGTCCCTGTCTACCACCTTCATCCCTCAGGCATGAAAGGCCAACCCAGCTTCTGTCACAGCTTCACTCTAACACACAGAAAAATCCCACCAAATCACTGACCCAGGATTCATTTAAGGAGGCCCCAATCCCATATTCCTGCTCTCAAATGCCTAGAAATTCTTGAAACTGCCAACACTGGTCAGCTGAACCTAGAACTGTGGCCTGGTAAGGTCAACAATGCAACACGGGGCAGCACAGCTCCCAGCACGAGCTCCCCAGCAAGCAGCAGCCCACAGTGCATGGTGCCACCAGGCAGCAGAGCAGGGGAACAAGTCAGAGCAAGAGAAGACAGACCCAGAGGTGGGGTCATGTCTGGACATGCTGCTCAGGGCACCAACTGTTATGGTCACCTGCAGAGGGGTGGTTCCCTTGTTGAGACTCATGCCAATGCAGCATGCACACACAGAGAATAGGACTCACATAACAGAGGTCTGAGGGGAGGGCAGGGCTGGCCTCTCAAGCAGCTCTGTCAGGGTTCAGAAAGCAAGGAATGGAGCCTGGCCTGGGGCTTCCCTGGGCCTGGGGGTGGGGCCGGGGCAAGAGCTCTGCACACAGGCAGGGGCTGGGGTGGTGGAATCTCCTGCCTGCTCTAGAGAAGAGAGCACCCAGGCTTCCTCCTCAGCTTGTCCAGGTGGGGGCACGAGGGGAGGAGGGTGGGTGGGGCTTAAGCTGTGAGCAGTCACCCAAAAATGTGGAGTCTGACTGCTCACTACAAGGACAAAGTGGAAAGGAAAAGTATGCATTCTCAATTGATTTATAAAAAGAAACACTAACAGGGGCTCAAAAATAATCAAAACTGTGTATCTGGATGTTACTGATTACCAGTGCAGGAGGGGACCAGGATATGTTGGCAGTGAGCCTCCTCAAGTTAGACTTTGCTGCCTTACAGATTGATTTTTTAAACAGAGACATTTATATTCTGTAATTTTAACTCTCGTACATAGGAAACCATTCTAAGATGTAATTCCTTTAAACACTAAGTTACAAAAGTGTAAACCAGACAAAATAAAATTTTCAGATCTCTTTTTAACTAAAAGGACATGCAGCATCCTCGTTTGTCCTCCCCCTATATCTCTCACTGGGGTATTTTCAGGAATAAGTGGCATATTATATATTACAATACAATCAGGGTTTGAGTTTAAACCCTTAACTGTATTGGATTTTCAAAGATATACAGAAGCTTTCAGAAGTTTTCCTCACAATGATTGAAATAGAATTTAATTGCTTTAGCCTTTTAAATTAATATGTTCTCTAGAGACATGCATGAAAGAAAACCAATCAAAAAATGAAATAAATTTCTTGCTTTCCTCACCTCCTATCTCTCCATCAACTTACAGTCTCAGGGCCCGAGTGCTAAGGGAAACTAGAGCCAAAGGGCTGCCCTAGTCCATCAATAAAGCAATCCAAAGGAAAAAAACACAAACACTGGAATCAGCTCAGATGAGCAGCCTGCTTCTCACAGGACAGAAGGAAAGCCACAGTCAGAAGGTCCCATGTTCCTGATTCTCCTCGTGGAGACAGAACCCTGGAGGGGGTCAGTCCCTGGAGAAGGAGGGGAGGGCACCTGAGCAGCCACAGGAAGGAGCTCTGGGAGCCCCACACACCCTCCTCTCCCCAGGGAACAGTGCACACGCTCCCTCTCTCAGGCTCCCATTCTCACAGTGAGGAAACTCAGCTGGATTCAGTTTAAGGTTCTGACCCAAATGGACCTCCTGATTAACGGGCCCTAATCCAGGACACAGAGCTCCTGACTCTCACAGACTTTCTCAGTGTAAACAAATTACTCTCTGAGTGCACCCACACTGTGGATACAAAACTCCAATTATGTCTAGAAACAGGCCCAAGGAATCCAGAGTGACAACCTCAGAAAGGGCATCACTCCCCACCCCAGGAGCACGTGCACCCCCAGCTTTCCAGGGCTCTGCAGCTCCTCTCAGGATAAAGGCTCCTTCCATGGGGGTGTGAGCAGTAGGACACCTGCAGGGGGAGGCTCCCCAGGAAGGACAACTGGGCCTGCAAGGCCTTCCCTTTAGAGGTCCAAGGGGGCCTTAGCTCAAAGACACTGCCCTCAGGCCTCTGCCCCATTGGAGTTTTTTGGACCATCATTGGTATTCTAAAGGACGCAAACCCAGTGTTTGAACAATCTAGCTAAAACACTCAAGCTAGTCTCTATGTGGAAATCAGGGAAGATAACTGTATCGCACTTTGCTGGCTCAACAAGAAAACCCACGAGAATGTTTTGCATTCTGGGGAAAAAAAAAACAATGTTAATATAATATTATTTCCATGACAAGTAGTTTTTAAATAAGCTATTGATCATACTTGAACACTTCAGGTCTGCAAGTCTAAGCCATGGAAATCCATTCAAACTCACTCAAAATCAAAGAACAGACTTCAGAAGATTAGTATACACAATGGGAGGGGAAAAAGGGAAAGAATTTAGTACATGCAATATAAAACCGGAATATTTTATTTTTTCTGAAATTCACCTCTTTCTTGTCTCTTTGGAAATATTTCATATTGTCTTTCAAGTCATATTGAATAAATAAATTTTTATTCATTGAAAAACTGAGGCTAAAATAAAGTGAATAAATCTTTTAAAGTGACTAACCCAGGTGGGGACAGTGCTGACAGGACAGATCATCCAGGAAGGTTTCTCAAGAGGAATCTGCACCCAGAGGACTTCCCACAGGATGTCTGCACCCAGGAAGATCCTGGGGGAGACGCAGGAGGATTTCATACAACGTAGTTCCAGGTGGTGAGAGGCTGCTTTTCACTCATGGAAACTATCCACACACACAAAAGAAATCTTTTAAAAACAGCCACCCATTGACTGTGAGAAAATGATAATTAAAATTATGGATCTGTTTTAAATCCACCAAAAACAAACAGTTGCTAATAATGGTGTGAATCGAAGGCAGGAAGTTGGCATTTGGGAATTTGGGGAGAGACTGGACATTTAGGCATTTGTCGCCAGTCCTAGGAAGACCTAGACTGGGGGACAGGGTTGTAGATTTGAGAGCCTGCTCCACCAATATATGGAAAATACAGAGAAAACGGGTGCCCTCCGAGGAGAAAGGAGGCCCTGGGGACCCCACAGACCGCAGCCCCTCCGCGCACGGACCCCGGAGCCCGAGGTCCGACCGCCCCGCGGACCCTCCCGCGGGCCCCGCACCTTCTGGGACACGCGGGGCTGCGGGCGCACAGCGGCCCAGAGACGCTCCGGCCCAAGTCGCCGCGCGCAGGGACCGCAGGACGCCCGGGCCCGGCTGCCGGCCCCGCCCCCACGCTGCCCGCGCCGCCGCTTCCCACCAGCCCCGCCTGCCGTGTCCTCACCCGGGGCCGCACACTCACCATTTCTAGATCTCCTGGGTCCCCTGAGTCATTCCTACGAGCCCCACGGCCAGTGCAGGTCACAGGGTGACAGAGGCTGCGGCAGAGCCACCAGGACCGTTAAGGGCAGGGGACAACTGACCCGAGCAGGGCAGGAGCGAGAAGGGGAGTCCACGTTTGGCCAGATACACCTCCCCTAAATCCTGACTCCGCCCGAAGGCTCGCCATTCTAGGCCTCCTGCGTCCCTTAGCATGCCTCCTTCGACTCCCGCGGTGGGTACGGGTCACAACTCGACAGAACTGGCAGAGGTACGTGGGGCCTTTAACAGCGGGGAGACGCGGTCCCCAGAGCGGCTGGAGCAGCAGCAACTTCCGGGTGGTTGGAGCTTCGCCCCACCCACCTTCCCCCGGCGCCGCCTCTGATTGGACAGTTCAAAAGACTCGCCCCCTTGTGTCTGAGTGACAACCCCTGAGTTTAGGTGTCTGAGCCGACTGAGAGTCAGAAGTTATCCCCTGCAGGGACATTTGCATTGAAAGGTAGTGCTGGGAGGCAACTCCGAGAACTCTTCATTCTTTACACATACACACACAACTGAAGGTCACTTAACCATATGCAATAATTAGTCTCTTTCCATTTTGATCTTTGTTGGCAACTGGAGTGTGACATAGTTTTGCCAAATGGGTACACAGGCACGGATACTGTGACCAGGCAACTAGGCAAAGAAGGGGGTAGGAGGCTCTGATAAAAACTAACATGATCTGTTGAGTGTGACAAATAGAAATGGCAAGCAATAGGATATATTGGAGTATGTGAGGAAGACATTTGGTGTAAACCTAATTCGGCCTGCCCTTGTTTTTCCAAAAGGTCCTGGCCGTGGCCCTTGAGCACGCATTGTATATCTGCTTTAGACATTTCCTATGGCAAGAACAAAGGCCCTTGAGATAAAGGTGCAACTTCCCTCCCCCTCCCAAGTTGGCATTTGCATCTCTCCTTAGGCTAGGAACTGATTGCTGCGCTCACCTGTGACCACCCAGCTGGAGACAATAGACTTGCTTCCTGCCACGCCCGCTGAGATAGCAGACCCACACTGCTGTGTCCATCAAACGCTGTGCCAACAGGGCAATCTTGTGACTATTGTAAGAGGGACATTTCAATCATATGTGAAACACCCTCTTTGAAGGTATATAACCACAGTGTATACCCCCGCTTCTTTGGAGTGCTCTGTTCCTTTGCAGAAGGACTCTCCCAGGCCATGGTCCTCACATTTTAGCTCAGAATAAACTCTCCCAAATGTTCATTTATAGATTGGTTATGGATTATTTTTGTCGACAAGTGTTTGCAGATGGAAAGTTTCAGGAAGAGCCTAACCACAGAAGGTTGCCACAAGCAAGCTAGCTGAAGCCAGTTCTAGCCTCCTCAAACTGCTCTTCAGTGAACTAAAGTGAACAATGCCCATTAAAATCTCATTAATAGTTTAAATTCTCCTCCTCTGGGAGGACCAAGCAGCCATTTCTAGGTCATGCGATGTATGTAGTAGCATGTCTGCATCTACCCATGAGACTGAAAGAAACATGACCATTAGGCAATAAACCATTACCTCCCATCTTTTCCTTAACTAAATACTCGAGAACTGTACTATGATCTAACAATTAAAGGACACCACCCCCCGCCCCCAAATCCATGTTTGGGGAGGCACTGCTTTGGGAGAGATCCCTGGTGTTCTCCATTGCTTGTGCAAGTAATAAACCTTTCTTCACCTACTTCTGCCTTGGTTGTGGTTTGGCTCCACAATCACCAAGAAGTAAACCCATTGAGTTCAGTTACAACATCAGGGATGCATTAGGTGGGCATCCTTCCAACACTTCAATCAGATTCAGAATAACAGTATTGGGAGCAAACACAAGCCATCATTTCAGAAGAAAAGTGACTTCTAGGTATTCAGAATGGTTAACTTTAGAAAATGTTTCTGACATGAATATATTTGCATCCCATGGAAAATACAATCAGGGACTCTTTCTCACTGGTGGTGAAATCATTCTCTGTGGTCATGACCCACACCTTACTTGTGGTTACACTATTTAATCCATCTGTAACGAGACTTATCAAAGAACTGAATTTCATCTAAATAATCATCTCACTGATTGGTGAGTCTATGATACTAGAGAGTAACATTCATTCTGACGATGTCAGAATCACTCCAGGACAGGCATCCTCTTCATATAGTTTGCAAAGATACCACTTCTAACAACTTCCTCTCCCAATTCCTAAGGAAATGCTCATCTTTGATATCATTTGAGTCAAAATGCCCCTCCCAAGTCCACCTGAATTTCAGCAATAACTCCACCATGCCCAGAGACAGAAGGATCCCTGGAGGCCATCTGATGCATGGAAACTGAAGGGCAGAGCTAAAGAACCACAAGTGATCTCAACGAAAACAGAAAAGAAGGGCCCAGTTTGCAACCAGTGCTCATCATACAAGAAGGACGCTGCTGGGCAGTAGCATCATGCATCAGTCACCATCCAGTGTAGGAAGAAAATTCTGTGGATATTCAGCAGCAAGCACTGAGAGATGGAGAAGATATTTCCATTTTGTTATCTGTTTTTCATCTTCCCATTAAGAACTGTCTGGAAAATAACAGTCTAGAAGCAGTTTTCTTGGAAATCACTTTGATTTCCTAAGTCAGGAATGCCTCTGTTTTTTAAATTTTATAACCTAACTCCTCATGTCCACCGCAAATAAACGACACACCATACTAATGATACGCACTCACCTTGGGAAGGTGCATGAGTCTGGCTCTGCTCTCACTCTCAGAAACATGGTGCTGAGGAAACTACATTTCATCAATGCCCTTCCCAACCCTAGTTTTATTTTCATCTGTGGGAATTGTACAGTTCAGTAGTGGCCCCATCTGGTCAGAAACCAGGGTTGTGCTTCCTGCACTGATGAATTGATAAATTGTTCTGCTTCTCACAGGTAACAGGGACAGTCTTACTCTGTCTTGAGATCACATCATGGTGCTCTCAAAGATCCTTTAACCACTGTGATCAGCATCATAGACATATCTTTTTTTTTTTCCTGCTTTTTCTCCCCAAATCCCCCTAGTACATGGTTGCATATTTTAGTTGTGGGTCCTTCTAGTTGTAGCATATGGGATGCCACCTCAGCATGGCCTGGTGAGCGGTGCCGTGTCCGCACCCAGGATCTGAACCGGATCAAACCCTGGGCTGCCCAAGCGGAGCCCACAAACTTAACCACTTGGCCAGGGAGCCGGCCTAAGACATGATATCTTAAGGTTGTGTTTAGTAAGAGGATGTGCTTCCTGTTTATCTCCATCATGGCAAACATGAGGGCTAGAATACACTTAGAGTGTTGATGCATCCACGTACACTGAGGGAAGCCCATGAGAACTCAAAATGCATCCTACAAGGAGCTCTTGTAAGCCAAACAAAGAGCTCCTCTTAAGAAGCACAGGGAGGGACCAGCCTGTAGCCAAATGGTTAAGTTTGTGCGCTCCGCTTTGATGGCCCGGGGTTTCGCTGGTTCGGATCCTGGGTACGGACATGGCACCACTCATCAGGCTGTGCTGGGGTGGCGTCCCACATAGCAGCACCAGAAGGACCTACAACTAGGATATACAACTATGTGCTGGGGGACTTTGGGGAGAATAAATTTTAAAAAAAAGATTGGCAACAGATGTTAGCTCAGGTGCCAACATTTCCTTTTTTTTTTTTTTTTGAGGAAGATTAGCCCTGAGCTAACATCTGCCACCAATCCTCCACTTTCTGCTGAGGAAGACTGGCCCTGAGCTAACATCCATGCCCATCTTCCTCTATTTTATACGTGGGACGCCTGCCACAGCATGATTTGACAAGTGGTGTGTATGTTCAGCACCCGGGATCTGAATGGACTAACCCCAGGCTGCAGAAGCAGAGTGTGCAAACTTAACTACTGTGCCACCAGGCCAGCCCCAGGTGCCAATCTTTAAAAAAAAGCAGTAGCAGCAGCAGCAGCAGAGGAAGTTATTTGTAGGTATGGAGAGCGAGATTGTTTTCCATGTCTTTGAAAAATGGCCCTAATGGAAGATGCTCTGTTGGAGGTCACTGAGAGGATGTGACCACTGGGTGATCCTCCAGCTAGACTTGGGCAATTGGAGGCTCCTTTCCCATCCCCTGTCCTTGGACTATACATTCCACCCACCGTTCCTGAACTAAGAGCTATTTCAAGGATGCAGCCTGGAGAGAATAATGTGTTGTTGAGACCATCTGGACTGTACATGTTACTGAGCCCAATTAAAGCTTCTATATAAAATTTTAAGATTCTGATGGGTGGGTGCAGAAATCTACTCATCTTGCACCACCTAAGACAAGCCTCACATATAAACTCCCTTGCTTATTAAAACTGCCACCTCCCCATCTGGAGTCATCTGCCTCGTTCCTCAGTCTCTCCATGCCCTCCGTGGACAGGAGCCAGTTTCAGATGTCACCCAAACTCTCGAGGTTGTGAACGAACATGCTCTTAGCTCTGAATGAAAATGAGAGAGCAACTGATCCTTCTTTTGCTGGGAAGCATTAAGTACCTCTGAATGGCACAACATCAAGATGAATGTTTGCACTTTTAAAACTACTTTTTCTTCCTGGTCTGACTGAACTATGACATGGTGTCTGAGGTAGTGGTGGGAGGAAGAATCAATTGTTCTATCTAGTGAGGAAGGCATAAATTACCAAAAACTGGTTATCACAGCTTTTATCCAGTGAAGATTTCAAAGTACGGGAAAGTACACACCCATAGAAGAAATCAAAGTGGTCAGCACAGAACTTTATTAAAAGCATTAGTTTTCAGTAAACTTACAGGCCAGTGCAACCTTACATGTCAAGGAACCATTGGGTCATCTGCAGGGTAAAATGTAGATTCCACTGAGAGAATTCTGCTTTCTAAGTCGTTATGAAGATGATGATGAGAATGACAGTGAGAATCGTAACAGGAACGCTGACACTAATAATAAAGGCACTTTGGGGAGGCTTACTGAGTGTGAGGCACGGCACTCAGCACCTTAGGGGGACTGGCTCATTGCTTTTCATCTGCACAGACTTCTAACAGGGAAGCACCAGCATGATCCTATTTGATAAGAGAGGAAACTGAGACTTAGGGGAGCTGAGTGACGGCTGTGACTTTACACAGGCAGTCAGGAGGGGGCTCGGATTCATCACCAGGCTGCCCGACTCAGACCAAGCTTTGCCACTGAGCTCCCTTCACCTCTTATTATGAAATTAGGAGTAATGGTTCATTAACTAGGACAGACCCTCTCTGAGAATCAGAAACATCTTTGTTCTTCCCCAGTAGCATTATTAAAATCCCCACTATGGAATAGATTGCCTTTGCTTTT